ATTTAGACAATCACCATCAATATGTCCAGAGGGGCTTATTAACCTGGTTGGTGACTAGACACATTCTGCAAGAGGCTCTTAGTTCAGGGTCCTCACTTAGGGCCATGAAGTCCTGGACATAGGATACCTCAGCCCATTTGCCCTGTTTTTTTGCCGAAGAGATCTAACTGATAGATTGTATTGAAGCTTAATGTCCCATTAGTGGGCCATTTTTCCTTGTATCCTAAGGAGTACAGAGGCCATGCAATGTTACAGGAGAAGATCTGTGGGAAGCAGAACGCCACAACGACCGCTGGTGCCTGTTCATTCAGACTCCGAGATCTCTGAGAAAACTCGAGATTGCAGGGTTAAAAATAACCCAAAAGGATCAGAGTGAAATGCCCTTGGGTTGTGTGTGGTCTGTGCTAAAGTACGCAGCAGAAGATGTTTTGTGGATAGGAAGCCAGCTGTAAAGAGCACACTGGGCACTCCCTTCTTTGTCCTCTTAACCTGTGTTAAAGGTTCTTATCATATCAAGTATAGCTTCTACCTGATTCTCATGCAATATACGTGCTTGACTAATCCTGTGTACGTGGAGGAACGTGCCTTACTACGTCCCTGCTGTAAACCATTATAGATCTATATCACTGTAGAAGGTATGGAAGAGTATGGAAAATAAACCCCGGGACCTCGGGCTGTTTGCTCGGAGTCCCCTGTGCCTCGTCTCTTTTTCTCAGTTCCTTCGCCGCCCCAGGTCCCCGACTCTCTGACGTCGACAAAGATCAGTTTTTTCTTTCTTAAATCTTGCAATCTGAATTGATTCCAGTGGGTTAAAAGGCATGCCAAAGAAGAAGACTTGGGACTGAAGGAGATCCCATGTTCTTAGAAAAGTAGAGAAAGGCCATTACCAAAATAAATCCCCCCATCCTGGCTCCCAGGTGGCATTCCATGCAGGATATATCAGAGGTTCATGGTGTCAAAGTGACCAGAGGTGTCCCTCTAAGAAGTCGCTATGAACACCACCTTGCCTTATAGGAGGGATGCTGGCATCCCTCCACTTCCCCATTGTATCCTAGGCTACAAATGGGTGCCAGTGAATAGACCTAAATGCCCTGCCATGTTGTGAAGAACCTGTCATTTTTAGCCCACGGAAAACATTAAAAAAAGTTTTACAGGGGGAAATTATCCAGTCCTATAATTTAAGTAGTTAATAGGGGACATTGACAAAAAACAGTAAAGATAGAAATCCACCATGATCTAAGCCAAATTCCAACACATGTAGTCCTTATAGCCAACTTCCCTAGGAAACAGTCCTTGGTAGGGTTTTAATTCAATTGGATACTGGCTTTTGCCAGCTCTGGGCAGAAGTTTCAGGGCCAGAAGTGGCTAGACCAGAGATGCGGAGGGGATCACATTTGACCAATAAAGAGGAAACCTCACATGGGAGTCTTAAGATTGGAAGCCATGCTAGTCACTTAGGTGGCTGATCCGTGCCCAAGACAGAGAACTTTGTATAAGGACAGGAATAAAGAGAGGACATCAAGTTTCCAAGTCTTAATACCATCCTGGCCAGGGTGCTAACTTCCAGTCAAAAGGCAGGCTTTTGGTCCTCCCCATGATGTAGCCATGGCTAGAGGATTGCAGCCTGAGCAATCGACATGAAAGTGTTCCAATAAGACAACACTCCTTGAGAAGCCCTTGAAATGAAAGTAAAGGAAAAGAAGAGGAAGTACTCATCAAGTTTGCACCAAGGCTCAGAGTCTAGATGAGAAGACTTGAGCCCCACGCTGGGCGCCAAAATGATGGGATTTGAAGTTTGGGTCTGAGAGTGAATGGTCAAGAAAGATTCTTGAGACATTTTCAGTGCAAAAAAGTGGTTTTATTAAAGCACGGGACAGGACCTGTAGGCAGAAAAAGTTGCATTGTAAGTGTGAGGAGTGACTGATTATATAGGCTATTTTTTTTATCCTTTGGAGGGTAGGGTGACATTAGGTCTCCAGGAAATTGAGTCTATAGGTTTCTGGAGGTCTGGCTCTTATTAAGATTGTATTTTTCTTGTAAATCATTAAGACAGTTATAAACAGATGGAGTTTTATGTCGTGCATGACTGCAATCTTTGTCAGTTGACCATTTGTATTTCCCTTTTTTTGTTCTTGGGCAGTCATGAGTGCCCAAAGAATGTCACACATATCCCACCTTTGGGGGTGTGGTTTGTCGAGTGCCAGTGTGCCTTGTGCCCTCAGCTTGCCTTTTGTTATCTCATCAAGGAGAGAAGGGTTTTCCTGTGTAGAGATAGAATGGTTATTTGCAAACAGGATTCTTTCTTAAAAGTAATGTGGGAATTTGAATGTGGGAATTACAGTCCTAAAGCGTATACTCTTGGCATTTGAACTTTTTTAAAGGTTTGTTTTGTTTTGTTTATTTGACAGAGCATACAAGCAGGGGGAGCAGCAGGGAGAGGGAGAAGCAGGCTCCCGCTGAGCAGAGAGCCCAACATGGGGCTCGATCTCAGGACCCTGGGATCATGACCTGAACTGAAGTCAGACGCTCAACCGACTGAGCCACCCAGGTGCCCCTTGGCATTTTAACTTATGACCCACATGGTAAAATGGGTCTGCCACGAAATGTACATCCCCAGCATCTGTTTCTATTTATTAAGGTGATGGCTATTCCTAGGGTCATCATGGATGACATATTGTATAATTTTTTTTTATCTGCCTGGGCCCCCCTATTTGTGTCCTGCGGGTCGGGCCCTGCCTTCTTCAGGTCTCAGTGACTTCCACATATTGTTTGCCCAGTGAGCACCACCACTGGCTACCACTGCTCAATCACCACACAGCAAGAGGGCCCCCCATGACTTTATTAGGACAAGAGATGCTCTTATCTAAGCCCCTCTGTTCCAGGCCTTGTTTTTGGAGGGAAGCACTCACTACAGTTCGTGAGGGAAGGTTCTGTACAAACAGGCCTCCTGGCTTTCTGACCACAGCTGTGAAGTCAGCTCCCAAATGCGATTCCCAGCTGCTCCTCTGACTTGACCACAGGCCACATGGCAACTGGCAAACCCGGTAGGGAGCCAAGCCACTCTCGGCTGCTCATCTGTGAATCTTATTCTTCTAGTATTACAAGAACATCTGCAAGGTTCATTTTACCCCACAGAGTAAGGAAAAGAAAAATGCCACATACTGGCTTGCTTGTTAGGAATGAAAGACTTTCCATTGAGCTGGGCCATTTGTCTCTGAATAGCAATGTAAATGAAATCATTCTGCAGCTGGGGCTCCCACAGCCAGATGCCTGGGCTCAGAGACCAGGCTGTCTGGGCCTGTCCCATCTTGGCTCATATGAGGGTTTAAGGTCAAGCATGCTGGGCAGTTGTTGGCTCTTCTAAGACCCCTAAACACAAAAGGATAGGATTAAAGTAAAGCAAGAGAGATGTGGAATTTGAAGAACTCCTAGACTGAAAGCATTGTAAAACCCTGAAATAGGTAACAAGCTTATGAAGATCATGTCCCTTTGCATCTTCAAGAATAAAGGATCTGCTCTATTCTCCATTGAGAGGCAATACCAGTCCACTCGAAATTCATTGCTCCACCACAGCCTTCTTCTTTTGTTCTCCTCTAGGAGGTTTTCATTTGGGTTTCTGAATTTTATTATACATGCCCATCCCTGCAGAAAATCATGACAACCACAACAAACCAGGTTTGAGATGTCCAGAGACAGAAACTAGTTGGTGGGAAATTAGCACAGTCATCAGATGGGTAAAATTCTAAGTGGAGGATTTGGTTCTCACTGATGCATAGGCCAAAGGGAAGGTTCTGTCTTGGTATATGCTGCACCGTGCATCATGTACATTTATAAATGCACCTGAATTGTGTCCCACAAAAAGATAGGTTGAAGTCCTAACCCCCTGTACCTGTGAATGTGACCTTATTTAGAAATGGGGTCTTTGCAGATATAATTAAGATGTCAGTTAAGATAAAGTCACACTTACATACTTTCTCATATTGAAGTCGGGCAGCCCCCTAACCCAATGACTGATGGTCCTTTAAAAAGAAGGAAGCAAGGACACAGACACACCTGGAGGAGGCTGAAATTAGAATAGGGCAGCCGCAAGCCAAGGAATGCCATGGCTGATGGCAATACCAGAAGCTAGGAAGAGGTGAAGAAAGAATTCTACCCAGGGTATCAGACAAAGCATGACCTTGCCAACACCTTGATTTTGAATTTTGAGCCATCATAACTGTGAGAGAATACATTTCTGCTGTTTCAAGCTAGCTGGGTCACAGCACTTTGCTACACTAGCCCTAACCAACTAATACGGCACCTTACTTTTTCTTTTCCTATTTTCCATAAGAAATCACATGAAATAGAACTGTGTTCCAAGGGCACAGACCTAAGGCAGTACTAGCAACAGTGAGTGTATGGAAATACATATTCTTTTTTTTTTTAAGATTTTATTTATTCATTTCAGACACAGAGATACAGAGAGAGAGAGAGAGCATGAGCAGAGAGAGGCAGAGGGAGAGAGAGAAGCAGGCTCCACACTGAGCCAGGAGCCTGATGTGGGGCTCGATCCCAGGGCCCTGGGATCATGACCTGAGCCGAAGGCAGACGCTTAACCATCTGAGCCACCCAGGCGCCCCTGGAATTACATATTCTTGGGATGTAGTTTTTGAATATGGGTGATGTTTGGTGGGGTCTGAAGCCAACGGCCAAGAGAGAATTCTTGAGACATCTTTGGTGCAAAATGGTGGTTTTATTAAAGCATGGGGCAGGACCCATGGGCAGAAAGAGCTGCTGCCCCAGCATTGTGAGGGGCAAGTGATTATATACTTTGGGGTGGGGTGAGGGGAGTAAAGATAAGGGAAGTTCCAAAAGGACTTTCAGATGCTAAAGAAGACTCATAAGTATCCTAGAGGCCTGGCTATTGTCAAGCTAAGGTAGTTTTTCCCTCTAGCAAGACATTAACATGAAGACAGCTGGGAGCTTCCTGGAGGAAGGTTATACTTTGCCGGCCTCAAGTATTTGTCAATGGGCTGCAGGTTATAAGGACATTTAATTTTATCTACATTTCCTTCTGCCTTTGTTTCCCACATCATACCCCCTGAACAATTTTTACCCTTAAATCTTTAAGGTTGTTGAGGGTGGAAGGTCTTATCTTCGGTAACTTCTTCCTGCTGAAGAGGGGTATAGCGATGTCCTTACTTATGGGTCAACACTGGTCAGTTGGGGAGTTTATCTATAGGTGTTACCAATGGCAGCGGCAGCCAATCCAAGGTCAACAACATATATGAACCTCCTTAAGTAGAAAGGATCATCTGTCAGCTGGAAGTTACGACAGTGAAGGAGTCTTGGCACCAGGAAGGGAGACACTGGAAAAGACAACAAAAGGAGGTTACTGTTTTAAAGAGAAAGAGAAGCCTAAATAAAAAGACCTTTGATAATTAGTGTTTAAACCAGTGCTTTATTGTTGTTGGAAGAGAAATTTGAGGTCTTCCACAGGTTCACAGGAATAAGAAGGCATGTTAGTTTGCTCATTGGTTTCCTGTGAAGGAGATCCAGGTTTTATTCTAGATATAAGAGCCCATAAAGAGTGCCCCTCTAATTTTACTGCAGTGGGTGGATATAATATGACCTGGTAGGGGCCCTTCCATTTTGGAGTTAAATCCCCTGCTGTGTTAGACTTCCAATCCTTTCAATAAAATGGTTTATAGGGGGTGGATTGCTAGTGACAGTCAGATCAGGTTTAGGGAGGATATGGTTTGCATATTCATTTAGAGATTTATGAATTAACCCGGCCTCAAGTGAATAATTTAACAGAGCATTATAGTCTCCATCTATTGATAGGTCTACAGTGAAAAAAGTTTCCATATAGTAACTCAAAAGGACTTAACCCTATTGTTGTTTTGGGCCAATTCCCCCTTCTAAGAAGCCCTACTGGTAAAAGAGTAATCTAGTTTTCTTGAGTCTCAATGCTTAAAATCTAGTATCTACAAAGATGTGTTACTGAAACATTTTCTCTCTATAATAACCCCCATTTTTAATCAGAGATAGCCAAATCAGGATTAATTTATTTGTATAACAAGTCCAATTTTAACAAACTTGGCCTAATGATTTACACAAGCTCAGCAAGAAGAGGAAGAGATCATATAGATCTTTTAGGATTTGCTTTGCTGGAACGTTTTTATAAGGAATCTCTAGGTTGAACTTTTAGTAGCCTCTCCAGGCCAGAAGCCAAGCCAAGTACTTGCCATCAGACATGCCTGAAATACCTGTAGATTTGGACAAATTCCTCTTCTTGAGATCCCCAAAGTGTCCAGAGGTTCCTGCACCTGCCAGGAAGCGACATTCTTTACTCACCTGGTGAGGCTGCTGGGAACTCTGTAAGCAGGAATCAGGCCAACATTTCCAAGGGGCTCTATTTGCGCCATGCCTCATAAAGTCAACCTTAGTTTCTTAAAGCTGTACGGTCATATCTGAGTCTATGCATGTCTCTCAAATAGGACATTCCAATCAAAGCCTTGGTAAAATAACCAATGTTTCCAGTGGTGTCCTGTTATAAGGAGAACACATTCTTATTGAACTTACACAAATGACTGTAATTGCCATGGAAGAAAGAATACTTACTGAGACCTTTTGAATTTCAGGGGGTTCAGGTAGAGAGAAAAGTTAAATGCTTCAGTCTGGGGGCACCTGGGTGGCTCAGTCAGTTGGGCATCTGCCTTTGGGTCAGGTCATGATCCCAGGGTCCTTGGATCAAAGAGCCCCATGTCACTCTCCCTGCTCAGTGGGGAGCCTGCTTCTCCCTCTCCCTCTGCCACTCCCCCTGCTTGTGCTTGCACTCTCTCGCTGTCAAATAAATTAATAAAATCTTTTTTTAAAAAAAATGCTTCAATCTGTTCACAGAGGAATAGTTTATTATTTCTGGATATCATTGCTCTCTTAAGGGAACGTTTCCTTAGGCCGGAAGAGCAAATATTAGAGAACCAGCAATATTTCAAACAAGAGTCATAAACTATAACCTTCCTCAGTTTAGTTAGTCCTGGAAATTCTTACCCATTTCAATTTTATCATCTTAAAGATATTGAATACCTGTGTTTGTCCTAAAAGTTCTTTTTATGAATCCCCTCGAAGATCAAACATGTTTAACAAGAGAATAAGAACAATAACTGTAAATAAACTAAAAAATGGACATGGTTAAAGATCTGATGAGAGACTGATTACAACATAGCTGGCAAGGAAATCTGGTTATTTCTGTGACATATAATACTTCAATAATCAGAACACATAACACTTCAATAATCAGAACACTAAATAATTGCCTCATGCCAGAACATATTAAAACTTTAGGAACTGCATATCATCTCTAGAGTAGTTACAGCACTTACCCAAGCAATACAATCTAAGGCTTATTATCTGTTTAACAGTGCTTCCAGAGTAGCTTAACATACCAAATAAAAAGGCCTAATGAGCTAAAGAGACTTCATTTACAATTTAAATCTTGGGAAGTTTTAAATCACATGCCTGAATAGGATTACAGATCATTACAAAACTTAGAATTTTTATTTAACCAAGATGACAATAAGCGATTCCAAAGGCAAATACATAGGGTTATATAGTTGTTAGCAAAACTTAGCTCTTTAATATTGAGACGTTTTAACCAAAGACCTGATAAAGACAAAACATAGAAACTTGTTTTCTGGGCAGACAAAAGAGAAAAAAACCTTTGTTTACATTTTATCAAGAGCAGACCAAAAATTAAAGAAAACTTTGTCTTTTGAACAGAGAGTAGAATTTCGCACTCTTAGAAAGCTTAATCTCCAGTGAAGACTAAGTAGTAACCACTGTGAACTGTTTCACCAGAATTCTTTAGATGACAAATGTATGAATCTATTAAGCACAAAGCAGGTTTACCAACAAACTTAAATATCCTCAGTTTCTTTGCAGTAAGAAGTCAAAAGTGCAAACCTACATTCAGTAATCAATGATTTAGCACTTTATCCCATTTGTAAAAGACCTAGATGTCCAATGAATTCAATCCCATTTATCATCCAAGCAAAACTTTCAAGTTTCAGGTTACCAAAGACTTTGAAAGCTATCTTAATTACCCATGGAAACTTGGAGACAATTAACTGCCATTTTAGTCATCTTTTTACTAAAATTGCAACAGAGATAACATGAGCTTTGTTAGAAGATCTTGGTAGAATAAAAGTTTCACATTTAATGCTGATAACTTTAAAGACAGGTCTATATTAATTAGAACAACAAACTTAAGTTAGTTTAAATACATAATTTTATATTCCACCTGGATCCATTTTTAAAAGTCAATTTGTTCCCCATTGTCAATTTTTACCTGAGACACTGTGGGGAAATCCGGAGTGGGTGGTGTGAGGTCCAGGGGGTGCTCTTCTTCTCTCCTTAATAGTGAGGGTGGGAGGAGGAGCCAATGGAGGATGGTCTAAAAGCCAGTTATGGAGGCCGCCCCCAAAGTGGCGCAGAAACAGGAAGAGGGAGAGGCAGAAGAGGTGAGGTGCTGCCAGAAGGCAGACTAAAGAGGGTTCCGGGTTCTAGAGCTCATCCACTTGGACAGATGAGCAAACGCCTTGTTTTTTTCCCACCAACAAGGCAGTCCATGTCGGGCCGGAGAAGACAGGGAATTTCCCAGAAACAAAGGGAGTTTCAGCAGCTGCTTGGGAATATTTCTTCAAGTCCCCATCCTGAGGTAGACTAACCAGAGACAGTTGGTTCCAATTGTAGCCATTAACACAAGAAATGAATGAGGGACCTGCCTCCCACACTCCGCTAGAGTAACCTGAGTCTATTAGGAGGAACAGTTGAGAGAGAGAGAGAGAGAGAGAGTCAGTGTCCCCATTGCTAAGGATGGCCTGTGTTTCCTCCAGTAACTTGGGTTTATTGGGAGGAGGCCTATTTAGATAATTATCATCTAATATATCAAGAGGGGTTTACTGGTCTGGTTACTACCAAACGTGTTCTGCAAGAGGCCCTATGATCCCTGAAAGCCTGGATGGACCTAGGGTTCCTCAGGCTATTTGCCTGTTTCTTGAAGAAGAGATCTAACTGATAGATTCTACTGAGGCCATGCAGTACCTTACTTAAATTTTACAATCCGAATGGTTTCCAGTGGGTTAAATGGCATCCCATGGGAAAGTCCTTGGGGACTGAAGAGAGAAGGTCCATTACCAAGAAACCCACCCCCCAACTCCTGGTGGTATCACATGCGCAGGATATATCAGAGGTTCCTGGTGTCAAAGTGATCCAAGGTGTCCCTCGAAGGAAATCGCTATGATCACTGCTTGCCGTAAAGGCCCTGTAGGAGGGAGGCCTGCCCTCCCCCCTACTCCCCCCACACTCTACTTTCCCTCTAGACTGCAATGGGCGTATGGACCAATTATGCCTTGCCATGAATGGCACGTGCGCCTTGGCTTGCCTCGAAAGCCATGTAGAACCTGCCATTTTTAACCCATGGAACACACTAGAGAAGTTTTACACAAGGAAATTACCCAAATTTGTAACTTTAGTTAGTAGACATTTCTGACAGAAAACAGTAAAGAGAGAAATCCATCATGATCTAAGCAACATTCTAACGTATGTAGTCTTTACAACCAACTTCCCTAGGAAACGGTCCCCAGTTGGGTTTTAATTCCATTGGGTACTGGTTTCGGCTGGCTCCCAGTGGAGGTCTCGAGGCCAGAAGCAGCTAGACCAGAGATGTGGAGGTGGATCATATTAGACCAACGAGGAGGAAACCTCACAGGGGGGTCTTAAGATTGGCAGACGTGCTAGTCACTTAGGTGGCTGTCCCATGCCCAAGATAGACGACTTTGTATAAGGACAGGAGTAAAGAGAGGTCATCAAGTTTTGGGGTCTTATTACCATTCCGCTCAGGGTACTAACTTCCAGCCAAAAGGCAGCCTTTCTCCTCCCTGTAGAGTAGCCTTGTGGTAGAGGATTGCAGCCTGAGCAATCGGCATGAAAGTGTTCCAATGAGACCACAACCCTTGAAGGGCCCCTGGAATGAGAGTAAAGGGAGAGGAAAGTCCTCAGCAAGTTTGCACTTAAGCTGAGTCCAGATGAAGACTTGAGGACCTCATGTTGGGGACCAAATGGTGTAGTTTTTTAATCTGAGTGACGTTTGGTGGGGTCCAAAGCTGACGGCCAAGAAAGAATTCTGGAGATGTCTTCAGTGCAAAATGGTGGTTTTATTAAAGCATGGGGACAGGAGCCGTGGGCAGGAGGAGCTGCTGCTGTCCCAGGATTGTGGGGGGCAACTGATTGTATACGTTGGGGGGGTAAAGATAAGGGAAGTTCCAGAAGGATTTTCAGATGCCACAGAAGACTCGCAAGGATCCTGGAGGCCTGGCTACTGTCAAGCTAAGGTAGTTTTTCCCTCTAGCAGGGCATTAACATGAAGATAGCTGGGAGCTTCCTGGAGGAAGGTTATACTCTGCCGGCCTCAAGTATTCGTCAGTGGGCTGCAGGTTGTAAGGACATTTAATTTTATCTAAATTTCCTTCTGCCTCGGTTCCCCACATCACTTGCATCCCAACTATCAATCGTAATATGCACATTTAAATCAACCGTGATGAAATAAACATTGAATTTCTATTATCTCTTCAGAAAATTAAATTATAAAATTATTGTCATGGAAAAGCAATCAGAGTACACAGCAAAAACCATAGGAAAAGAGTACTCAGAAGTATGTCAGACAGTTATTTAATAAAAATAAAATGTTAATTTGTTCAAAAAGTTGTGTCTGTGCCCTAATCCCCAGAACCCATGAACATTACCTTATTTGGAAAAGGAGTCTTTGGGGGTGCCTGGGGGGCTCAGTCAGTGAAGCGTCTGCCTTCGGCTCAGGTCATGGTCCCAGGGTCCCGGGATCGAGCCCTGCGTCGGGCTCCCTGCTCGGCGGGGAGTCGGCTTCTCCCTCTGCCCCTCCACCCTGTTTGTTCCCTCTCTCTCTCTCAAATAAATAAATAAAATCGTAAAAAAAAAAAAAAGGAAAGGAAAGGGGGTCTTTGCAGATGCGATGAAATTAAAGACCTTGGGATGAGATCATCCTGGATTATCCAGGTGGATCCTACATCCAATGACAAATTCCCAGAGACACGCAGAGGAGACAAACAGAAAAGGAGGAGGCAGGGGGGCAATGGAGGCAGAGTTTGGAGAGATACAGCTGTAAGCCAAGGAACACCACGGCATGCCAACAAAGCCAGGAGAGAATCCAGGAAGGGATTCTCCCCTAGAGCCCCTGGAGGGAGTGTGGCCCTGGGACAACTTCATTTCTTCCCAGAGACAGCCTTTGCTCCCCTTTGTCTGTGTCTTTTGTGTTGTTTGTCATAAAAAGGAATTACCGTAAGGCGGCACTCCGGCCTAGGCCCTGTAAGCCTGCTGTCGGAGCACTTCTGCTGAGTTCACAGTTCCTATCAGATCAGCGTCTATTTAGACAAACTTGGCTGTGGGTCCCCTGTGTCAAAACAGGATGTGGTTTTTCCTGTTGTCTTGTTCTATGTCCTAAGAGTGTGGCTTTGTGACCAGTGAGAATATTCGCTCTGGTCTCTACCATCTGGAGGGTGCACTGACCAGGGTGGGTGTACCCTGTTGGCCAGTCAAGTAGATCAGTAACAGTCTTTGTCTGGTCATGCCGGCTGTCAGGAGAATTGGCCAGAAGAGGTCCCACCCCAGAAGGGGCCTTTGTTGTCCTAACTTGCCTTGCTTGTTAGTGCTGAAAAGTCCTATTCCGGTAGCGCCTGCCTGGTGACAGATTAGCAGATCTGTGGCTGGAAGCATCTCACATTTGTGCGAGATAGGAAACACCACAAACACCAAATCATTCTCACTGCCTATACAACAAAGGTCTTTGCTTTCTTACACTATTCTTGGGAGTAAACTTTGGATCATGGGGCTGCATCATTTACGCCCTCCCCAGGGACACCTTTTTTTTTTTTTTAAGATTTTATTTACTTATCTGTCAGGGAGAGAGAGACTGAGAGCACACAAGCAGGGGGAGTGGCAGGCAGAGATCCCAGGACTCTGGGATCATGATCTGAGCCGAAAGCAGACGCTTAACCAACTGAGCCCCCCAGGCGTCCCTCCGGGGACACCTCTTGTGTCCATGGTAAAGTTTTATTCTAAGCCTGGGAAGTTGCTTCCAGGTCTTTCCATAAGAGGCTTTTTGGATTCACTCACTAGTGGAATAAGTATACTAATGGGGATCCCATTCATCAGTGACCAGATGATGGATCTTTTGAATTAAAAAAACTTCTATATCTGAAAAAAATTTCAGAGAGCTCTCATTCCAAACAGCTGCTTTATTGATATTTATGGGAAGATGAAATTGAAAGGAAGACATAAACAAGTATAATGGCTAGCCTTAGAGAATCCCTTCATAAAATGAAAGAATAGAAGTCAGAACAAGAATCAAAAACCAAATCTGACATAAATCCCACTTCTTACACTCACTCCTGTTTATGCCCAACTCCCTGTCCCTGACCCTTCAGAAGACCTGTATCCCTGGGCCCCTGGTCTAGGCCTCCTCCTTCAAAACCCAACCCCGGCTCCTCAGCTAATTTCCTTAAATCCTAAAACGCTAACTTCCCCAAAAGAACCCTTGAAGAACCACCTACCTACTTTAACTTCCCTTTCTTTACATGATTTACAGAGAGCACTTCTGCCTGATCGCCAGGCTCTGGGAATCCAGGTTGCTTGTGTAAATGCTGAATGTCAGGAAGCAAATCTAGTAAAAGTACCCAGGAAGGGTGATAAAGCTTGTGTGCCATGCCTTTTAATTCCTCTTATTTTCCAGGGCCTTGAAGTCAAGCTCTGAGAGTTTCAGGCATTCCTGGGCAATGTCTTTACAGGTGTATCCTGAACTCCCACCACAAAGAACTCGCGTCCCAAGGATTCTACCAAGTTTAGAGAGGAATTAGAAAGATGAGCAGTTATTCACAACCCCACTCACAGAGACCTTGCTTGGCTACTAAGGGGCATTCTTTCAGCCCATGATTATACAATGGTTATCAGGTAGGCCAGAGGGCCCCTTGGAGAAAACACCCCCCACAGTGACAACAGATAGCCAGAGCCTCTCTCCGGGCCCTCCTAGGACTGATCAGGAGACGGCTCAACTAGAAGCTGATATTCAAGGGCTAATTGGAAGGATAAAGGAAGCCTCTCCTCCCAAAGTAAACTAGTCTGCAGTTGAAATGTACACGCTGAAAGAAAGGGAATGCCCAAAAGCCTTTGTTGAATATCTTATACAAATTTTTCAAAGGCACACTACATTAAATGCGGAAGCCCTAGAACATAGAAATCTTCTAATTTCTGCTTTAGTGGGAAATTGCCTCCCCAGTATAAAAAAACAAATCCACAATAATATGATCAGTGGGACAGGGCAACCAGTCAGCATAAGGAGGCAGCTACCCCGTTCTTTGAAAATAGCTTGCTGGACAGCAGAGGGGAAAGGAACTAAAAGCAACAACTCTTGCTTTGTTTTTTGTTTTGTTTTTAATTTTTTGTGTTTTTTTTAATTTAAATTAAATTAACCAACATATAGTCTATCATTAGTTTCAGATGTAGTGTTCAATGATTCATTAGTTGCGTATGACACCCAGTGCTCATCACATCATGTGCCCTCCTTAATGCCTATCACCCAGTTACCCCATCCCCCCACCCACCTCCCCTCCAGTAACCCTCGGTTTGTTTCCCAGGGTCAAGAATGTTTCATGTTTGGCTCCCTCTCTGATTTTTTCCCATTCAGTTCTCCCTCCCCTTATGATCCTCTGCAGTATTTCTTATATTCCACATATGAGTTTCAACTCCTGTTCTGTGACTTGAATCTTCAGAAAGGCAAAGCATGACTCTGAGAATAACTCAGAGACCACTCGGAGGTCTCTCTATTGTCTCCAAAGAAACACAGGACGTTGGAAGAGAAATGTCCTGCACTTAAGAAAAAGGAAGGTTTAGAAAGCAATTCTCCTAAATCCTACAACCCTTCGAAAATTCCTTTTTTCCCCCGAGGGACAGTTCCCCTTAAATAATAGGGTCAACTGCTCCTCAGCCACACCCAGATCTACCGTAAAA